AATACATATGTAGTCAATATCAGAATGCAGAAATGCTAATAAGTCTAAAGGGAGAAATGGACTCTTATACAATAAAGGGAGACAGTAACACTCTACTTTCAGCAGTGGACAGATCAACAGCAACAACAACAAAATAGCAGAGCTAAAAGACAACTTAGGTCAAAGGAACATTAACAGACACCTATGCAACATTCCATCCAACAGCTACAGAATTCACACTCTTGTGAATACCACATTAAACACTCGTCAAGACATATCATGCAGTAGACCACAAAACAAATCTTAATATATTTTAAAAGCTTGAGATAACATCCAATATATTTTCTTGCACAATAGAATGAAACTGGAGATCAATACAGTAGATATGTGGAAACTGTACATGTACATTAAAATTCCCACTCAAGGCAGATAGTGCTTGCCTCATAAACATGAAGCCCTGAGTTCAAACAACAGTACCATGACAACCTAGGTATAGAAGAAAGGTTCTCAACATAGTGGCCATAAATAAGTAAGCGAACGGCTTACGTTATGCTGAATGGAGTAAAGCTGCAAGCTTTCTCACTAAGATCTAAACAAAATAAGGATGCCCACTTTCACTTTTTTTATTCATAATAAAATACTGGCTACCCACCCTAAAATACAGCAAGAGGGAAAGGGGGAAATAAATAAAGGGCATCCAAATTAGAAAATAGAAAGTCAAATTTTCACTGTTTTCAGATGACATGATTCTTATATATTGAAAACCCAAAAGACTTCACAAAGTATTAGAACTAATTAAGAAATTTGGCAAAAATTTCAGGGTACAAAATAAATATATAAAAATAAGCAGTATTGCTACCTGTTAATCATAAATTATATGAAATAGATATCAAGAAAGAAATCCCATTTACAAACTGAACAAAAATGTTGGAACAAATATATTCAAAGATACGAAAAATACCTAAAATAAAAACATAGAAACTAATAAAAGAAACATTTCCATCTGTCCCTACTGCTAATGAATTTGTTTTTGCTTTTCAAAATAATATGTTAGGATAATATATGTAATTTCAAAAATCTTAATGCTATCTACATATGTAACTATTATTATGTGGTGTTAGTGGAGGGAGAGAGAAGCAGAGACAGACAGCATGTCAGTTCAAATTTTTTATGAAAACAAATACTGGGACATTTTTATTTTAAACATGAATTGAATTCTTGTCAATAGAAATATAATATTTATTTTCTTTTTTATACTCATTTTTGTGCCTTTCATTGCTAAGACAAGGAAAAATTAAATCTGTGTGGGTTATTATAAGAATTAATAAAGTTGGATATTCTAAAAAACTTTCATATAAATCCCCCATAATCATTTAGTCAAACTATCTGGGCCCCGATTATATGTCACTTACCTATTATTTGTTTATTTACTCATTTTAATGTTATACCATTTGAAATTAGTGTCCACAGTGTTAGGAAATTGAATGAGCTTGTTTTAGGATACATTTAACAACAGAAAATGTCTTTTTCCAACTTCAGTTCAGGGGTAGCTAATTATATACAAGAAGCATATCCATAGAGGACTCTATTCAAAGGAATGTTCTCTGCTAACACACCTGGGAGAAGGGTAAATAAATGGCCTCTATAGTAACAAATGCCCAAGAGGTCTCAAAAAAAGCCTACAAATACTACACCCACAAAGCATGCTTTATACTTTTCTACTATTGCCTCCCTTTGTCCTTTGGTACATGTATCAGATGAAAAGATAAGATTTTTGAATTGGATGCTTAAATGTATCTCTTGGCAGCAGTTTCTCTGTCCTCTGAAAGTTTGAAAATAAAATATATCTCATCACAATTTCTTTTTTGTGAGGAATATTTATCAAATAAGGTATGTAAGAAGACACTGGTTTTTTTAAATTTTATTTTATAAGTGTAAATTAATTGAACAATATAGTTTCATGGTGATATTTACAACAGGCATGTAATGTACTTTGATGAAATTCATCCCATCTATGTTACCCTGTCTTAATCCCTTCCTTCCTCCTCTCTCCTTTTTAACAGTTATTGGTGAACTTCACTATGGCATTTTCCCACATATATAAAATATATTTTTATAATATTCACCCCTTGTCATCCTCAGAGAGTATTTCATTTCAGGGAATTTTTTCTAAATTTAGAATACCAAGTTCAGTGCCCCTAGGAAGAAGGAGAATTGTCTGAAATTAATTCCTCTCTGTCTTTCACTTACATGTTAAAGCACTTAATTTCTTAATTTCAACAGAGTATTTCAGATAAATATTAAATACTTGAATGAAATAATGAAGCTTTCATTTAATCATGTGACTGTATCACAGAATCAGTTTTGGAAGTATGGTCAAAATTTCGTGGATTGACTTCTCCATATGTTTTGCAGAGGTTTATTGTTTCAGATTAAAAAATTTGAATTCTTCTTGTGATCTTTTACTCTTTGTGAAGCTAAAAGATGCTACAAACATAAATACACTGGTGAAAATAAAGTAAACTAAGACAAACTAGACTGAGCATGTGAGGGGAGATTCAAAGATGTCGTCAGGAATATGTTCTGGCAATTTATTTCTCTGACTTTAAACATTTATGCATAAGTACATTACTAAAGAGAAATAGGAGGAAAATCACTGGAAGTGGGAAACACAAAAGTGATGGAATCCAAGACCCAAAAGTATGATAGATGAGCATGACATGGAAAAGATGAGAGATCTGAGAGTATAAAGATTGTGTTTAAACATGCTTCAGAATAAATCACAGTGGTAGGCATGCCTGTTGGGGTGTCTGTAGGGAAACATGAAGAAAACTAAGGATAATCACCACTCACAGATAAAACTACACTTAATAAAATTAAAAAACTGAGCAAAGTCCTAAGTAATACAAAATAAATACAAATGGTGAAACAGTACTGAAGAGATAATGTCATACATTGCATTAGATTAAATACATTATGGAATGATTCAAAAGAATTAAATTCAAAATTACTCTTTAAAAACTCTAAGAATGACTCACAGTAGAAAAGAAAAAATGTGTATAGCAATGCTAAAAGAATAAGCAATATTCATCAATTATTTAAAAATGGGTAGATTATAATTTCTAGAATATTTCTTTCAAGAATGTAATTAATTAAAACTTCACCCTTTTCATATCCCATTTTCAACAGAGCATTTTCAATTAAGAAGGAACTTAAACTAAGATATATTATTAAACTCAGCTTGTGCTAAAATAAACTGGAATGATATCAGTTAAATGAGGTGTAGGGGCCACACCCAACCAGGAAGCGTACAGACCGTGCAGATGCTTTCTGCGGAATCCTGGAATTCTGATCTTATTGTTTCAATACGTCATTTAAGGGATTGATTGCTTTTTTATATTTAGACCTCCTTAATTTAAGCAGACTATGAGAATGAGTTGGTATCAATATTCCAATATATGAGTACTAAAATGCCATTTGTCATAGGGTACTAAACGATTTAATAGGTGTAAAAAGCTTATTGGAGTGCTTGATCCACAGAAGAGTTATGAGTAAGTTTGAATTATTGTTGCTATTGCCTACTTCTGACCCAGGATAGTGCAAAATGAAAGGGAAACACATTTGACCTGTTGGTAGTTTATGTGGCAATTAGGCAAGAAAAAGATGACTTTGAGGACTTAGTGAAGTAGAGAATGTGAAACGTCTGCTTTATTTCCCTAAAAATGCAATCTGGTACCAGGAAACCACTAATTGATTAGCTGAATGAGTCATATTTTGTCACTGAGAGACTATATTAACTTCCTATCTGAATATTCACCATCTTATAGGATATTCACCATCTTATAGGATATTGTGGACATAATGAAACGCACTTCCCCACTAAAGAACAGGAACAACATAAACAAAACTTTCATTACCTGATCTTTCTCTTTCAACACGTTGTTACAGTCAGCTTCTTAATTTTGTTTTTTTAATATGCTTTCTAGCTTAAAAACAAAAGAAAATGACCAGAAGTGGCGAGTCACTTTGATTCAATTTGATTCCAATAATTCTCTGGGAATGAATTGAGATATTGACTATTCTGATAACAGTTACTTAGAGTTCAAAAATGTATTTTAGCTATCAGTAGGTCACTGATAACTGTTTGAACTCTTTTAAAACAAGATGTTTAAGATTCTTGATAAATGAAAATTTTTTATAGATGGACAAATTAGGTAAAACATAACATGAAAGATCAAATGCTCAAACTTTGAAGTAAATAGTTATGCAAGGGAAAAAAAAACTCCATAAACACAAACTCTTGAACATGGGAAACCTAACTCAAGTACCATTACATGTTCAATACCAATGTGCAGAAACAGATACTAAAAGTGTTCAAATTTCTTGCACAATTCCAAATAGCTAGAAGAGATTTGTTTAACTGAAGTCTTCTTAGTCCTGGTTGAGGTGAAAGGATGATTCAAGTAACTCGATGGAAGCAGTGAGGGCTATCATGATGATTCCCATGGCTCCGTGTTTTTCTCTCCTTCTCTTATGGCTACCTTCACACTTTTTCTATTCCATTTCTGCAATGCTTTGTAGAAATGTTCACAATACAGATCATGTGATTCCAGGATTCCATGCTTTATCTACTCTGTCAGATGCCCATAGATAGATAATTTTCATTTTAATAGCAGCCTCAGTTGATTTTGGGGTCAGCCAAAGTTTGACAACCACAGTTCTGGAGTTTCACAAACACAATCACTTCTATTTTTCATCAAATCTTCACCACAATTTAGGGAGATAATTATTGTCAATTCAATATATAGCAGAGGAACATCGGTTACTTGTTGACTTAACTGCCTTTAACCGAAGTTTCATGGATGGGAATATGGTCACCTATACAAGAGTTCTGGGTTCTTTCTACAAAGAGTTGTTACACATGTTCAAAGTTGAAACAGCCAATGAAAAATGTGTTTGCTTATTCCTCACACCTCTTTCTCTATGCCACTTTCCTATGATAGGTAAAATAAGTTGAAGTGATGACACTAAGTAACAAAAGCCACCCAGAAGAGTTCATCCTACTAGGCTTTGCTGACCATTCTTGGCTGGAGCCCCCTCTATTCATCATTCTTCTGATCACATACCCCATGGCCATGATGGGAAACATCGCAATTATAGTGGTATCCAAGGCAGATCCCCGACTCCACATCCCCATGTATTTCTTCCTCACCAATCTTTCTTTCTTGGACATGTGTTACACCACAAGCATTGTACCTCAGATGCTGTTTAACCTGGGAAGCTCTAAGAAGACCATCAGCTATATTGGGTGTGTAATTCAGCTGTATGTCTTCCATATAATGGGGGGCACAGAATGTCTGCTCCTGGCTATCATGTCCTTTGATCGCTATGTGGCCATTTGTCGACCTCTGCACTACACCTTCATCATGAATCCACGTTTCTGCATCCTATTAGTTTCTGTTATGTGGCTGATTGGCATGCTCTTTGCTTTCTCAGAGGCCTCTCTTACACTATGGTTGCCACTGTGTGGTATAAAAGAGCTGGATCACTTACTATGTGAGATTCCAGTCCTGATAAAGACTGCCTGCGGTGAAAAGGAGGTTAATGAGCTCGCACTGTCTGTGGTATGCATTTTTATATTAGCTGTTCCTTTATGTTTAATTTTAGCTTCTTATGCTAGTATTGGACGTGCTGTGCTTAAGATTAAATCTTCTGAAGGAAGGAAAAAGGCCTTTGGAACATGTTCCTCTCATCTCATTGTAGTTTCCCTATTTTATGGTCCAGCCATTAGCATGTACATTCAGCCCCCATCCTCCATCACAAGGGACCAGCCCAAGTTCATGGCTCTCTTCTATGCAGTGATGACTCCTACACTCAACCCCTTCATCTACACCCTGAGGAATAAAGATGTAAAGGGAGCATTGGGCAAGCTGGTGAAGAGCATTTTCAATTTCAAGTGAATACTTAAATACACCAAAGAAATTATTTCATAATTATAGTGAGTGGTTCATCTGGATTTGTCTAATAACTCATTCTTGTCTCATAATCCAATCCCATGTTACTTATTCTTCCTGCCAACCATTTCTCATTTCTGGTAGTTTTATAATCAGTTTGGGCATGAATGAAATTCAACTAATTAGCACCAGAATATAACTCTACTATAAAATATTTTTAAAAATTCCTGGTTGATACATATCTAACTATTCAATAGTAAAAAAAGATATAAATTAAATTCATTAGTTGAAGCTAATCATCATATAACACTCATCACATAAAATACCACCAATTGTCTCCTGTCAGTGTCACCTAAGAAACATTGTAACACTCTTGGAGTTTGACTTATGTCTTTCTGGATAGCAGGATTCATTCTGTGTCCAGGAGGCAATAATTATATGTTTTAGGAGAATCATGAATTTATCAACCTCAACAATTCAGGTAGCCACTATTAGTTCTTTAAAAATCCATTGTAAATCTTAATGAGTTAGTGTGAAGTGTTTTCTGTGTTTAATTAAAGAACCTATTAAATATTCAAATGAATAAAATGAAGACTAGAGAAGGAACCTCAATGCTAGAGCATTTACCTAGCTTGCACAAGGCCATAGGTTCAATCTCCAGCACTGCAAAACAAAACCAAATAAATAGAATGTAGAGATAAAAACTGGATAAATTTTATGTTCCTTTTAAACATCATAGGTATTATTCTTTTGAATCAATGAGAAAACAATGACATGATACTACTAATGAACATCAGATTGGAAACATTTTTGTGAATAAATTGGAACAGACAATTTCAGTCTTCTGAAACTGGGCAAGAATCAATATGAAAAAGAAAAATACATATTTGTGGGAAGGGAGTGACTAGATTACAACAGTAAAAATATGACCATCTTTGTATTGATACAGCCTTTAAACACAAATGTCATTCAAATCTGTATCATGAAAAGTTGCAAGTTAAACAACATGGCTATAGAATTCATACCCAAACTTAAAACTTTGCCATAGTTACAATTTAGGGAAATGAATTCTTGAATTTTGTGGTCATTAGGGGGTGAACAAAAATAACAAGAGTTCATTATGATTTCGCTTAGTGAAAACATAAAGACTATACAAAACAAGTTACTTTGTCTATGCAAAATGCCTCTGAAATTATGAATATCTGTGTAAATCGTTGTAAGGAAATTCACATGTTCTCCTGAAGAGGAACCCACGGCAACCAGATCCACTCTGCAAAGTCTAAGTCATCTGGTGCTGGTCTGGTTCTGGAGACATTTGGATTTTCTTATTTATTTCAGGGAATATGTTAAATAATTCAAAATTCTCTGATTTGTTGATGATCGTTAATGATTGCTATGAAACATTTTTAAATTTCGTATGTTTCAAATATCACATTTCTTTGATTTTTGGAATATTTGTGTATTCATAAAAAGAGATAGCTTGAAAATTGGGCCCACTTCTAAATTTGGTAGAATTCTACTTTTCATATACTCCTATACACATAGCCTAAAATTTTTCAATAATATTATAAATGTTTTTACATTTTTTATTGTAATCCATCACAAGAGGTCAAATGTTAAATTTTCCACTTGTGGCATCATGTTAGCATCCAAAATGTATCATATTTTAGAGCCTTTGGATTAGGAATGCTCAGACTGCACTGAAGTTTTTACTTTGGGGGCAAAACTCAGCAGCTATGTTAAAAGCATAGTTAAACAGACTTGATTATAGTTGTAGTGATTTCTTACATTGCCCTGTGTCCTTGTGAGATGCAGATGGTATGCAGGATTTTTTGGGTGTTGGGGTTCTTGTTCCATTCTGAGACAGAAAGCAAAGGCAGACTCAAGCAACAGAGGTCAGAAAGATTTTATTTATAGAGAAGAGAAGAGAGAGGCTGCATGGGGGCATGCAGTAGGACCTAGAAACGGGTGATTCTGTGGGTCAGGATGGAAATTGGGTTTTTAATAGCCTTTTTTTTTTTATTGCCTGAGGGCAACGATGTCTCTCTGGTGCAAACAGATGTTTCCTGGGAAGAAGTGTCTCCCTGTTGTCCTAATTATCACCTTTTGGGCTCTCCTGCAGTCTGACCTTCAAGTACCCCCCTCAATGATCCCCCTAACAGCTGTTAGGAATAGGGATGATGAAGTCTATTCAGTGACTGCTTCTTTTTTTTTTTTTATCTTTTCTTCATATGTGCATACAAAGTTTGGGTCATTTCTCCACCCTCCCCCTTCCTCCCTTTCCCCCAGCCCCCTCTCTCTGCCCCCCACCCCCTCGCTTTCAAGTAGAAACTGTTTTGCCCTTATCTCTAATTTTATTGGAGAGAGTATAAACAATAATAAGAAGGACCAAGGGTTTTTGTAGGTCGAGATAAGGATAGCTATACAGGGAGATTCCTCGCATTGCTTTTGTGTACATATGTGTTACATTTTAAGTTAATTCTTCTCGAACTGACTTTTTCTCCAGTTCCTGGTCCCCTTCTCCTATTGGCCCCTGTCCTTTAAAGTTTCTGCATTAGTTCCTTTGCATTGAGGACATCAAATGCTATCATGTTTTTTGGGTTTCTTACCTATCCTCTTACCTCCCTTGTGTGCTCTCGCCTTATCAGTTACTGCTTCTTGCTGACAGGGGCAATCAAGGGACCCATATCATCAGGACTGACCACGAGAGGGATTATTGAGAGAACGATAATAGGTCGATTTCATCTCCACCAGGGGCATCTGTAGTTTGATGGATTCTAGGCGAGAGGAAACAAACTTGACAAGTAAGTTTAACATGCAAGGCCCAAACACACGAGAACAACGGCAACTGTAAGCCCAGAAAGGGTAGGAACCGTGTCCTGGAGGGAAGCCAGGATTTTATTTGATCCCATGCCTGTGTGGATATCTGAGTTTCAAAGAATAAAGAAGCATATCTATAGAAGGCTCTGTCCCAAGGAACTTTCTCCCAGCACACCTGGGAGAAGGATAAATGAATGGTCTGTGTAATAACAAATGATGACAAATGCCCAAGAGGTCTCAGGAAAAGCCTATAAATAGTATACCTACAAAGCATGCTTTACATTTTTCTACTATTGCATCCTTAACCTAGTCTTTTTGTCCTTTGGTACCTGGTTAAAAGAAAACCTAAAATTTCTGAATATGATACTTATGTATGTCTCTGGGCAGCAGTTTCTCTGCTTGAAAAGTTAAACTATATCTCTTCACAAGGCCTTTTTAGTAAAGACTATTTATCAAAATAAGGTATGTAAGAAGACACTGGTCTTTTTAAATTTTATTTTATTAGTCTAATTGTGCAAAATGGTTTCATTGTGATATTTACAGGCAAATAATGTACTTTGATCAAATTCATCCTCTCTATATTACTTTCTTAATCACTTCTCTCCTCCTCTCTCCTTTTTAACAGTTTTTGGTTTCACTATGGCATTTTCCTCTATATACAAAATGTATTTTTATAATATTCACCCCTTGTCATCCTCAAAAAGTATTTCATTTCAGAGACTTTTTTCTAAATTTAGAATGCCAAGTTCAGTGCCGCTGGGAAGAAGGAGAATTGTCTGAAATTAATTCCTCCCTGTCTTTTACTTACATGTCAAAGCATTTATATTTTAAGAGTATTTCAAAGAAATATTAAATACTTGAATGAAATAATGAAGCCTCCATTCAATCATATGACTATATCACAGAATCAGTTTTGGAAGTATGGCCAAAATTTCATGGATTGACTCCACCACATGTTTCAAACTGAGGTTTTGTTTGTTTCAGATAAAAATTACCTTGATTTCCTCTTGTGATCTTTTATTTTTTATAAAGATGAAAGATCTCATAAATATAAATAAACCCTCTGTGTGATTAAACTAAACTGGACTAAGATACACTAGATTGAGCATGTTAGGGGAGATTCAAAGATGTCATCATAAATAGGATCTGGCAATTTAACTGACTTTAAACATTTGTTCATAAGTAGATTTCTAAAGGAAATAAGATAGAAAATCAATGGAAGTAGAGGATACAAAACTAATGGAGTCCAAGGGCTAAAATTATGAAAGATGATAATGACATGGAAAATGAGATCTGACAATGTAAAGATTGTGCTTATACATGTTTCAGAGTAAATCACAGTTGTAGGCACTGTTGGGTGTCTCTAGGGAAACAGCAGGAGAGACTAAGCGTGAGCACCAGTCACAGACAAAACTACACCTAATTAAGTAAAAATGTTGAGCAAAACTCCAAATAATACAAAACAAATAAAAATGGTGAAACTATGTTGGAGAGATCATTGTCATTACATTTAATTAGATAAAATACATTATGGAATACTTCCTGAAGGATTAAATCCAAAATTACTCTTTAAAAACTTGAAAAAATGACCAATGGTAGAAAAGATAAAATGTAAATACAGCAATGCTAAATGAATAAACAGTATCATCAATTATTTAATAATGTAGGTAGCCAGCAATTTCTACAATATTTATTTCAAGAATATAATAATTCAAACAGCATTTTCACCTGACAAAGAACTTAGACTAAGATGTATCCCTAAATTCAAGTTTTACTAAAATACTGATTTCAACTAAATGAGGTTTAGGGCCACACTCACTTAGGAAACATCCCTACAGTACTGATTCTTTGTATGGAATCTTAAAACTCCGCTCTTGTTGTCTCAATATCTCACTACCTCAATTACAACATTGATTTCTTTTTGATATTAAACCTCTATAATTTTAGCAGACTATAAGAATGAATAGGTATTAATATTCTAACGCATGATGCAAAATTTTCATTTGACATATGGTTTGGGAATGGGTACTAAAGGATTTGATGGATGTAAAAACTTATTGGAGTTTGTGACTCACAGGATCATTAAGGATCAGTTGAATTATTATTGTTATTGCATAGTTTTGACCCAGGATAGTGCATAATCAAAGGTAAACACTCACATTTTACCTGTTGGTAGTTTATGTGAC